GTTCCTCTTGACTACTGAGCTTTATTGAAAGATTTTGTTTCTCTTATTTGCAGGCATTTTTGTGATGCACACATATATTAATGACAAACAGGGAAATTGAAGTGCATGTTTATGCATGCATGTGCATATACACTTGGATTTACATAAAAAACCATTATATTTGAATAGAAAAAATGAGCTCCTCTTTCTTCATTCTGTGAAGAGGGGGAAAAAAGGTGTGAGACAGGTTTCTTCAGTACTCCTATACCCCTGTCATGGTTTAAAGTGGAAGGGGAGAAGAAAATAACTTTTTATTTTTAAGTTACCTTCCCTACGAACACCACACTTTACAGCTTGCACACACAGGCTGAGAGAAGGTTCTTACTTAGACTCCAGTTGTTCAAAACCTCAAAATGATAGAACTGAGATTCTCTGTTCCTCCATTGATATCACCTGTGTATGTACATGCACGCTGCTCAGTTTCAAGGTTTTCAAGAACTGTGACGTTTCAGCCTTTTTTGGTTTTAGTTGTTTTTTTTTTTAAGACTACTCAATATTCTTATAGTACCTTGGTTTTGAAATAGTGGTTTCTTTCTGTGCAAAGGATTCCTAACTGCAATTGATGCAAATCTGCAAACTGAGCTGTAGAAATCAAGCAGAACACCTAGAGGATGGGGGAACAGTTAGGATGAGTTTCATGTACATTAATTCACTGTGCAAGTTAGACCTAGAAGTCTGAGCTACCTCTCTTCAGAGATGATGGAAAGAAACATATCGGATGAATCATTTTTTGCAGGTGTCTGTTTTCTCTGGCTATGCAAAATGCTTAGGAAAACTGCCTCAGCTGACATGAATCCCACCTGCAGTGGCTACTCATTGAATTTCAAAAAGTCAAGCTTTCTCATCACTGAGAACTCCTAAGTTGGAGGAGAGATGGAAGGAAGTCTTCCAGGGCATTGCATGCTCTCCTTGCTGTTGGATTGTCCTTTTTCCTGCTTCTTTGTTACTTCCACTCTTTCAGCAGTACTTCTACAAGCAGCAATCTGTTAAACTACACAAATGTGATTCCTCCGTAGAAACCAGTGTACTTCATACATGGATCCTCTTGGGGAGGAGGAGGAATAGCATGTCATAATGTAAATCAGGACTATCATAAAGTATATCTGTAAAATACATTATTTAGGGTCACTTAAGCAATCTTAATTATGATTGAGCTTTGTAATCTTCTTCCTTATACACACATATGCATACAGAAATTTGTTAAAACACATTTTTGCAAGAAGCAGACTAATTGAACACAAGATTATCGTCGGTATCACTAATGCCTGTTCAGTTTGTTGAATTTGGAACAGACAGAGCCTGCAGAAATCCCTGTTGCTGGGATTATCTGATAGCAGCTGAGGTGTTGATAGCATATTGTGTGCTAGAACAAAGTAGTTCTTCAGCAAATTTCACGCTGTCAAAAGAACACAGGAGCCACATGTCTCGGCTTTATTCTGGACTTTAAAAAGGAGTATTCCTTAGTGAATACATGTTTTTCATATAGCTTAACTTGTCCTACTCTTCTTTCCTTTAAATTTGTCTTCTAAATCATTATTTTGTTTGGAATGCAAAATACAACTGTAGTTCTTGTCTGGAATGCAAAATACAATTGTAGTTCTGTAAGTGCTTGAAAGCAATGATGTCTTAGATCCTTACTTATAGTATTTCCCTGTCAGGAATGATGCTTTGAAGGTATTTTGTGGAATCTAAGGGACTCAAGGTTTCCTCTGTATTCAAAGGGAAGAAGCTCCTGCAGAGGACGAGTCTGAATCCCTCTCTGTTGGCCATGCAGTGAAATAAAATATCTGATAGAGAACATGAGTGTAGATGCTCCTTGACTATGTTTTAAAACTTAGGAACTGTGCTTTATTTATTGCTAAAGTTGTTCCTCCTGTGAGAGTCCAGTAATAAATCTGTAAACAGTGTTTTCAGCCAGCCAGTTTGAGTCTGAACAGCAGCAAATGGTATAGACATTTTTATAAATCTTCGAGCATTTTAATTTTCTTATAATCTGTGGTTTGAAAAGAGTAGCAGGGAATTCTCAGGATGTATGTGTCTACTAAATGGCAGACAGTTTTTCTGCTCCTTGTATGGATGCTACTTCCAGTTTGTCTCTCATTTGGAAGTCAGATGCTCTTCTGTTTTGCTTAATGGCATATTTTGTTTAAAAGATTGTGGATTCTTGATAGCTAACTACAAGTCCAGGTCTGGATTTTTTCTTCCTTCCCTTACCAAAATTAATCCTTTTTCTGTTGCATGCCTTTTTTTCTACTCTGTTGTGTAATTGGTCTCTGTGGATTACTTACCTTTAGCTCAGGACTTTGTTCTTTCACCAGACCTTTTATCTTTTTGTGGATATTTTCAAGAACTCTTTTATAATACGAGTGTATTGGGTTGGCATGGCCAGGTTTTGGGTTGGCATGGCTCCTCCTATCAGCAGGGGAGCTACAGGGGTGGATTCTGTGAGTGGCTGCCCAAAGCTTCCCCATGTCTGACAGAACCAAGACGGACTTGTCGCTGGCCAGGGCCCAGGCCATCATGGGTGGTGGTAGCACCTCTGGGATAATGTATTTAAGAAGGAAAGAAAGTTATTGCACAGAAGCAAATTGCAGCCAGAGAAGAGAGGAGTGAGAGTATGTGAGAGAAACATCCCTGCATACACCAAGGTCAGTGGAGAAGGAGGGGGAGGAGGTGCTCCAGGTAATAATGGCCAGTCTTCGCGAACGAAGATTTTTGGGAAAGGTCTTTTACCTTTCCAGCCTGCGCAATGGATTTTTTAGGTGAGACACAGCATGCGCTGAACTGAGCCCACCCTTTAATCCTAAGGTTCATCTGCCGGGGCCAAGCAAGCTTGGACAATGGCAGTGAGGTCCTCAGGATGTAAGTTTGTTTAGAGTGACCTTCTCATAGATGGATGGCCTCACAGGGCTAATGAGCTCCATCTGCCCCGGGGGGTCGCAGCAGTGAGAGTCCTGCATGCTAACCACTAGGCCACCAGGGGTCCCAGGTGCTCCAGGTGCAGAGCAGTGATTCCCCTGCAGCCCATGGTGAAGAATACAGTGAGGCAGCTGTGCCCCTGCACCCCGTGGAGGTCCATGGGGGAGCAGAGATCCACCTGCAGCCCGTAGACAACTGGACACCGGAGCAGGTGAAAGTCCAGGAGAGGCTGTGACCCCATAGGAAGCCCATCCTGGAATAGGCTCCTGGCAGGACTCCATGATGGAGTCTGTTCCTGAAGGACTGCACCCTGAGGAAGGGACCCACACTGGAGCAGTTCATGAAGAAAAACTGCAGCCTGTGGGAAGGACTCACATTGGAGAAGTTCATGGAACAGTCTACCGGGGGAGGGACCCCATGCTGGAGCAGGGGAAGGAGACCTCTCGCTAAGGAAGAAACAGCAGCAGAGACAATGCGTGATGATCTGACCACAAACCCCCTTCCTGTGCCCCTGCACTGCTGGGGGGAGAAGGTAGAGAATTGAGACTAAAGTTAAGTCCAAGAAGGACTTAACCCACCTCGGGGTGGGGAGAAGGTATTTTCAAGATTTGGGTTCACTTATTATTATCCTACTTGGATTTTATTGGTAAAAAACTAACTTCCCCAAGTCAGGTCTGTTTTTCTTATGACAGTAATTGTTGAGTGATTCCTCCTGCCCTTATGTTGACCCACGAGCCTTGCATTATTTTCTCTCCCCTGCCCAGCTGAGGAGAGGAGTGATAGAACAGTTTTGGTGGGAACCTGGTGTCCAGCCAGGGTCAACCCACCATAACAAGGAATAGGAAAACTTGAAATTAATACAGCAAATAGCAAGACTGATTTCTTGTGATGTTTTCTTGTCCAATGTGCTTTTTTCTTAAGTTGTTAACGGTTGCAGACAGAGTGACACCGTGTGTTAAAGTGAAGAATTTCACTTTTCTTATTTCCTATTTCTTCTTTGGTACGCTCATCCTTTACAGGGTTTTTCTTCTTTTTTTTTTTTTTAAATAATTATTATTATTTTAGTATCCATCAAATGTTAAGATTATCTGTATGCTTGCTTTGTCATGCTTTTTTATTTTCCATGTATACATACGTGGAAAACTTCTATGTATAGATTTACAGCTCACTATTTTATAACTAAGTGCCCTTGAAGAGAAGTTGCAGTATCAATAAACTATTTCTTTTACTGATAAATCTGTGTTTAGATTTCTTTCAGCAATTTAAGAAATGTCATGGCTGGAAACCCAGAGGGGTATCCATAGGAATAGAAGAATGTACTGTGAAGATGCTGATTGTGGGGATCTGTATTAGACATGTAGTGTAGTGCAAGGATTGGAAAGGTTGTTCCTGTTTCTAGGAAAACCAGGTAAATGGCAAATAAATGAAAGATGAAATTTGAAAGCAGTATTTCTTGGGGAAAGGAAAAGGAGGTACTTTAGGCCAACGTGCAGAACGCGTTGCAGTCAGGGACATAAAAATACATTAAAGCAGTACTTTGCTGATAACGTAGTTTCTGAGACTATTCAACGTCCTGTAGGGTAAAATAGAGACTTGCATATGTTAGCGTTACCTAGTCATGAGCACTTGAGGGGCTGAGAAGTCAAATCTGATGTCGGGATGGGTGTGCACCAGCAATGACCCCTGTTGACGTTGCGGGTGTGGCAATGTGCTGCTGCCTCTGTGCACACAGGGAAGAAGGTATTCAGCTCCTGGGTGATGTTTTCTGCTTGAAGATCTTTTTCATTTCTCTTGAGGAAAAGGAATTAGGCTGGGTGGAAGCACTGTAGAAGCCAAATCTGTTTAGGGCCTGTCAGTTGGACCAAATGAGTCAGTCTGTGGGTGTTTTGAAGGAAGAGACAAGGAATGCTATCTGGAAGAAAAACTTTGTTTCATACCATTGGTAAAGAAAAGGTGCTAGGCTGAATCACAGAGGCTTGCTTGTGTGGTAACTGTAATGTATTCTCTCTTTTCCTCCCCTCTGTTTTCATTTGTTTGTTTAGGTTGAATTTTCCTATCCTCCCCTAAAGCCTGGAGAAGGACATGACAGTCACAGTTTACCAGAGGAATGGAAGTACTTGCCATTTCTTGCCTTACCGGATGGTGCTCACAACTATCAGGAAGGTAAGAAGCAAGAGAGAAAAGTTGTATGCACTACTTCTACTGCAACCCAAAGAAAAATCCTGATACCTGGAGAGCTGATCAATGATTCTTTTTACTATTAGACTTCCTGCACTTTTTGTTTAAGTTGCAAAATACATTGCCAATGATACATTACTTCAAAATTTAACGTAAAAGTAGATCATACAGATGTATCTCCTATATCAAGAAATCAGATGTCAATAAAAGCTAGAGGGTTGTATATCAATTGTGTATAGTACTAGCACAAAGCAAGGCTGCTGGCTTTCTCAGAAGTTCTTTGAAGGGTGAATAAACTCTCGAGTAAAACCTACTCCACTTTTGATGTGAGGGAAAAATAAGATTCTGAAATGCAGCTTTGTGATGTATGTAGTAATTATGATTTTTTTTTCCTTCAGTAATTTTAAGATTCTTAAAATGATGTACAAGTCATTTCATGCCAGGAGAATGGCATGAGCTTTAGTGTATTTGTCAGCAGAATGAAGATAGAAATATCCCTTTATCATATAGTTACCAACAAGTTCACTGCAGCTTTTATTTTGTTTAATATTGCTTTTATTTCTTTGTTTATTTGGCAGCAGTATTGTTCATCACTGTGACATTTATATTCTTGCTCAGTTGTTTCATCTTTTTTTCTGCAGAACAGTGAACAAGGAAGTCACTTTAAAGAGCAAAATCACAGAAACCCTTTAACATTAATTTTAATAAGATTTTTTTTAGTTGTTATATACTTATCTTCCTAATTCTTCAGCTTCTGAAGACCTTGTTTGGAAGCAAAGAAAGTCTTAGCAAAATAATCCCCTTCCTAGCAGCAATTAAGAGTTTCTCTGACTCCGGGTCACAATTTTTGTAGAATTTCTGCATTGTTAAATACATAATGAGAAATAGGGTACATTCAAAGCTAGGAAAAGCAAGTGCAGCTGCACTTACCTGTGTCTCTCCTGTTCATTTTGTTACTATGAAGCAAACAAAAAATTAATAGTTTGTTTCAAAGTAGATTTCACTCATGTTTTGAAAGGCGAACAGTTGTCCTCTCTTTTACTTAGGATTTAGCAACTTTCTTGGAGTAGTAGCAAGTGCATATGTGTAGGTGTGTGTGTGTATATCTCAAGCCATAGAAGTCTTTCTCTTGTCATATTTTGTAGAGATTTTATTTTTCATTGTGTGCTTGCACGGAGACAGTAATTATTTTCTGTAAGACTGGGTTTCACAAATTCTTTTTGTTAGAGTAGTGGTAGTGCATGAATGTCTGTCTTGGCAGTGGTAACAGCTACTCTGATCTTTCAGCTGTATGTGTCCTCCTTGGTGTTGGGGTTTTCTTTCCTATCTTGATTACATTTACCTTCTTAATGGCATCACTCTCCACTTGTGCACCTTGACTCATAGTGCCTTGCCTTTGCTCCTTCGTACTGAATTGGGGAAGTAGCATGCCTGTAGGTTTCAGTGGTGCTTCTCTGCTGTCAATAGCTGCTTCCAAGAAGCCATCAGCTGACTTATAGGAGCCAGGTTTGGCTAAACATGAGGCTGTTTTCAAAATATCTGTATTAGCACAGCTGGAGATTCTTCCACGAAATATCTTGCAATTTGAGAACTAATTTGGGTCCAGGCATAGGTTTATATGTGACTTTTTCCTTTTCTTTTTTTTTTTCAAGTTTCAGAAAATAAGTGTGCCAGTATTTTCAGCAGTAAACCTCTTATAAATAAGTGATGCTGAAAATAAATATACTGAACTCTTGTTAGTGACTTACAAAATAGTCTTTTCTTTTTCATAGATACCGTGTTTTTCCATTTGCCACCGAGATGTGGGGATCGAACCACAGTGTATGGCGTCTCTTGCTATAGGCAGATTGAAGCGAAGGTAACTTCCCAAGTTGTGAATTAATTATATTAATTAAATGTGTTAACAACCCTAAAATGCAGTGGCTTGTGTTACACCAACAGTCAAACTGCATGATCGGCTTACGTTAAAAGTCTATAAAAATGTGCCCAGTAGGTAGCTACTAAACTTGAGAAGTATTGTTTTCCTTATATCAGTGGGCATATTGTGATCTTTTGAAATGTTCAAGGCGATTGGAAAATATATTTTGTTTCTTGAGAGCTAATCCAGGCATCAGCACCAAGGAGCAAAATGCAGCTGTCAGTCTGTCAGGAGGCCAAGTCATGTTTCCAGGAAGTAGGCCTCCTGGGTGGAAAAAGTTGAAATTTCTCCAGTGTGTGACCATGAAGAATTTGAGTATTTCTTGGGATCTGACTGTGCAAGTGTAGTGATGTTTGTCTTCAACTAACCTCCTTTGCCAAAAGTACACTTGCAGAGTAGACCAGATTCTCCCCATTCTTTGCAGCTGCTTACTGATACTGAACTTTTAGTGGTAAAGCTGAAAAATCAAGGCGAGCCATAGTGTACGCCTGATCACACTGAGGAAATTAGGTACCTAATCTACTAAAATCAGCCCATATTTTCAAAAATAGTAATGGTAGGATGATCTGTGCACTTAGATTTGAGAAGTTATTATAAATTTCTTTTAAAATTACTTCCTTTTGCAGTGAAATGCCAAGAATCTGGGATGGCATGTAGGTTTGAGTTTTAATTTACATGTTCTGAATAAAAGACTCATTTATGTACTCTGTGTTAATCATACCTTGGTTATATTTCAAGTTCCTACTTAAGTTTTAGGAGAAATTTTACACCTGCAGTTTTTAATTCTGTTTCTTTTGAACTAAATCCACATTGGTTTTTGTTCACTCGTTATCTTTGCAGCCAGTCTACTGTATTCTGTGATTTAGAGTCTTGCTTTATTTAACTATGCAATAACTTGGCTTTATTGTGCTCTCGATTCCAGTTTATGCTGTTTAGTAACCAGTTAGGAAGATAAATAGATGTTTAAGATGAACCAGTGTGTTTCATATGACAGCTCTAGCACTCTTTCCGTTTGTCATTTTTGATATGTGGGCCACAGTCCATGCATTTTCTGTTTTGTACAGTTAAGTGAACCATTTGTCTGTATTTCTGGTCCCACCATTTCCAGGTTTGCTATAAAGTGCTGAGGCTGTTTGGTCTGCCTGAGAAAGTAGCTGATTCTGTGGATGATACCTCCTTTATTTTATGGGTTCCTCAAAGAAAATTCCTGAGTATGAAGCAAAATATTTCTAGGCAAAGACTAGAAAGAAGACAGTCTGGTTCATTTTAACAGATAATGTTAGAGAAGAGCAAGTGATGTGTTGTGACATCTCTCCTGTTACATTATCCTGAGTTAAAATGCCATTGCTTTTTCTGGGCTGTTGCCTTTTTCTCATGCTAGTGTCTTTTAAACAGTCCTTTGCCTATCATCACAGCTACATTTGGATCCTTGCTGGGCACAACGAATAAGGCTCTAACATGTCAGTGTTACGACCCTTTTTACTTCGTAGATGTGTCCCTTGTTGGTCTTGTCCTTGATTTTTACCCACTAGCTCTCAACCTGTTCGTGGCTGTTTCTCAGAGACAGCACTTCACAGTCTTTCCATTCCTCAACAGAGGAGACAACATCTGCACCCCTCCTTCTCAGCCTATCCCTTCCGAAAAAGTAAGGGCATACTTCTAAAAAGAGCAAAACATTTCATGGTTTGTATATCCCACCATTAAAGGTAGCCAGTTTTAGGATTTTGTTTAAATAAGGGGGTAGTATGTGACAACTAGACTTGTGAAAGTGTTCTTTTTGAAATAATGTGTTGGTAAAAATACTGTAATACTTCTATTTCTTAGGCATTAAAAGTACGGCAAGCAGACATCACCCGGGAAACAGTACAGAAAAGTGTCTGCGTCCTCAGTCAGCTGGTAAGAATGTTTGTTTTACTGCTGAAACACTTTCAGGTAACATTAACAATTGCTGTTCTTCCATATTCTTATTTGGAACACTTGGCTCCAAATATCTCTTAGTCATTGTGGAGGGTAACAAAATACTGAAGTAAAATTGAATGAAAAGGCTGTGGCATTTGAATAAGCTGCCTTGAATTGTTTCTTCTTGTAAGAGTAATTGGAGAAGTGTCTGCCTGCCTGTTGTCAGGGATGAGGATATCTATTGATTCTTCTTGAGTGCTACTATCATGTGATAGGACTGAGGGGTTTGGCCAGTATAATCACAGAGAGGCTAGGGTTGGAAGGGACCTCAAAGATCATGTAGCATAATAACTGGAGGCAATGGCTGTTGACAACTGTGAAGGAGGTTTTAAGATGGTGACACATGCAGGGTGTTCTTGTTTTGAAGAAACATCTTTTATTTCTACCTATTCAGCAAAAGCTGCTGGTCACAACACAGGGAACAGAAATTCTTTTTGTGCTTAAAGCTGAAGAAAGAACTATTACTGGAGCTGTATGAGCAGTGTTAAAGAAGGAAAGTACTTTGTCAGAAAGATGTTCAGTGATGGTATGGTACATGCAAATGGAAGGAAAGTGGAATTATCATCATTTAAAATGAGCACAGGATAAAGATGCTGAAAGTTAGTCACTGAGGACTGCTCATCTATTAACTCTGTGTAATAGTGTGTCAGTATTGCAAGGTAAGCATGGGAGAAGATTAAAGTTCAAAATGAATGACTACATAGTTTTGTTCACTTGCTTTTGTGTTTGTTTTTCTTCCAAGCCATTGTACGGGTTACTTCAGGCAAAGCTGCAGCTCATTACACACGCGTATTTTGAAGAGAAAGACTTCTCACAAATTTCAATTCTAAAGGTAACTTTGCAGTAATGGCCACGCAGAACAAAGCTTTCAGTGTATGGCTAAAACCTCAGTGTTTTTAATTAGTGCTCAAATATTCCTTTTGCTTCTGTCATTCAGTTTTTCAGCTTTTGTGGTACCTTAACATGAACTAAATGTACTACCCTAATCTGACAGAGGGTCAGCTTTCTGATTAGTAATGAAATACAAGAATTGTATGAGCATGATTGTCAACCTGTATGTCCGTTGACTCCATTAGTAAAATTTTACTTTCTTCCTGGAAAGAACCATTGAAATCCTTGAGTAAGTGAATTTTATTTATTCTGGATTTTGTGTGACCATGTGCCATTAACAGCTTCTGGGTTTTTTTTGCCTTTGTTGTAACTTTTACAGGAACTTTATGATCACATGAATAGTTCCTTGGGCAGTACTTTGCTAGAAGGGTCACAAGTTTATCTTGGTAAGTGACTTGTTTTGTACAAGCAGCAGAGATAATGTTACTCTAAACAACACGTGCCTTTCCTGAGCTGATTTGTTTATGTGTATTAACAGATTAAGCACTGGAGGTCTGTGTGCTTGCATTTCTTTATTAATGGATTTAAATAAATGTAAAATATAGTGTTGTTTTTATAATAGGAGGTAGTTGTATGTTGAAAGCCATGTTACTTCTTAACCTAACAGTCTGACTAGTAACTGCTTGTCTGCTTTTGGGAAATAGTACCTTGTTAATTTTTAGGTTAAACTGTTTGATGGAGTAGGGTGCTCAAGCTTTCATCTACCTGTTATTTGGGATATCTACCCCCCGATTCTGACTCTTCCCTGTGTTTTCTGAATGCACAGTGTAGTATTTACTTCAGTGTTTCCCTACTGCTGTGTGACAGCCAACAGGAGTTATCTCAGAGCATGACTATTCATGTTATTACTGTCTCCATTGTCAATTTAACTCTTGCTCCTGCTCAAAAGATTGAAAGAATTTTGTATGAGTTCTGCTATTGGAATAACCAGGTTCACATAGAATCCCTAATGGGTCTCTCCCTCCTGCTGAAAATGGTGACAAGAAGTAAGTTAGTATCTGTGTTGGCTTTTAAATTGTAATAATTGCTCCCTTTTTGGTACCTCAGGTCTATCTCCTCGGGATCTTGTTCTCCACTTTAAACACAAGGTAGGCATTCTCTGCTAGATACGTAAAGGATGACACCTATTTTAGTGAGTAAAATGCTTTGTGTGGGAAGGAAAAATAAATATGTCTAGACATACCTGAGGTAGGAGTAAGAAGACTGTTTCCTAAGTACTTCTGGTTACAGCCTCCTGATTTTCCTTCACCTTCCACCTGCATTACTTCAGTGAAACTAAGTTCCAGACTGAGTTTTGTCAGTCTGAGGGATTTCTGGAGATTTCTAGGTTTGTGTGATATTTTTTAGTCCTATCCCAAAGTGCAAGCAGTTCTTTGTGGTCTTGTTTCTGTTTCTCATTAGATGAAGAATATTGCTAAAGTCTGTGCAGACACAACCTGGAGCATTTTTCCCCATATCTTGTAATATTTGTAGCTTCTGCCATCATAGAACCTGAGGGGACTTGCACTTCTTTTTCCTGTTGACTACTGAAATTCATTGTGTATCCTATAGCTAAGGTACAAATAGCATTTAGAATCTTTTATTAAATGAGATGCATCAAGGAAACAAGTTTGAGAATCTGGATTTCATGGTATACTTACACCTGTTCAGTAGATTTTTCAGGTAGAACTCACTTTTGTTTACCTTGTCTGCCAGTCATGCTCCAGAAGCATCTGTGTTCTTCCTTGAGTGTAGAGAGTCTGTACAGCCACTTCTGATCTAGATGCCTCATCTGTAGATAACTAAAATTTGGTGAGGTGAATGCTATTCTTGGTATTTTGGTGGATTCTTTTCAGTATTTCTGTGGAGGAAGTCTTTTATGTTTATACAGTTTACTGTTTTTTAAAATTCTGGCATTGCACAACATTTTCTTTCTGGTAAGCTATGTATGATTCAAATTACAAAGTTCTTGTTTGTGGAGGGCACTTTTATTGTGCATCTCATGCTATTTTTAATTGTGTGCTCAGGTGGAGAAAGGGTACTGGAACACTTGTTTTCACTGGTCAGATGTATTTGATCATTGGATAGTTATGCAGTGATTAACATGAAACCTTGAATAACAGATTATGCTTGCAAAGTAGTTTTGATAAATGGCACTGGTTCACTCACCATGTTTTTTCTTTCTGTGTTTTTTTCAGGTCTTGATCCTTTTTAAACTGATTCTTCTAGAGAAAAAGGTAATGTTTTGTGGGCTGAGGCAGGTAATTGAAGTAAAAATGCAATAGTTAAATTTTTTTCACATATAAAATAGAAGTATCTGAAGTAATATCAACAACTTTGCATCAATATATAAACTGGGTTATTAGGCTAAAAGTAAATTCTGTGTGTTGACGTATAAATTTGCTTTCACTTCTGTGCTGTCCACACTCTGCCTTGTTAATAGCTGTCCCAGCCAGACTAAGTAAAATGTGATGAAATATGAGCAGAGACAACATACTGTAAAAGATAGGAAAGGATACACATCATGCAAATAAGTACCTGCATGAAAAAAATAATAGGAAATGTGGGTACCTAAAAGGGCACATACAGCTTTACAGGCATTCAGTAAGTAGAACTTCTGATTCAGGCTATAAATAGACATACCAAACGAAACAAGTGCTAAAAGTGTCCCTCAGCCCTGAATTGCGTGGACACCTGCAGGAGACAACATAGAGAGCCCTATCTGTTAGGTCAGGCTGTACTCTGATTATAAATTGATAAAAACTGCTGAATTCTAGGCCCAGTGTTTGCCTTGGGCTATCTTACTGCTTCAGAAGCAATGCTGTCTTAGTGATCTAAGTGTAATATGCAAAATGTGAAATGGACACATTTGTTTTCTTCTGTGTACATATTAATGGCCTAGAACAAGAACTTTGAGTGAAATTACTATATATCAGCTGCCAGAGACACATTTATGTAGGGATTTTGGTTTGGTTTGGTTTAAAAATTTTGTTTAAAGCTTTTTTTCAGTTTCCCAAATGTGACTTTTTCTTCAGTGAACCTGCTGTGTTAAAACCCAGCTACGTCAGAGTGCTGGGAAGAAGCATAGAATTTTCTGTTAGCTGCAGCTGGAAAGTCAGTAGGATTTAATCTATAAGATACCAAAACAGTTGTGGGTTTTTTTAAGTCTATATCCTAGGCCTAGGTATCTTTTGTGAGGCAGTAAATATGCTATTTTAAAATATAAGTAGCAACTTCTCTGAAGCTTTTGCACTTGTCACTTAATTCTGTAAGTTAGATATACTTTGACAGTTCTAGGTATTTATTGATGAGAATAAATGCGGTTTCTGCATTGAAGAGCTGTATGCTGAAGATGACTATATTAAAGGCTATGCAAAAGGTATCCTTGAGAAAATATAACTATGGCATAGTAGGAGTACACATGTAGATATGTATGTAATCAACACTCAATATGCAAATTTTTCCCCTAAAATAACTTAATACACTCTGAAAGTCTGCAGTGATTTATTTTTTTAATAAACTGTAAGTGGAAACAATATTTTTCAGTTAAAATTTTATAAAGTATCCCTACTGATCTATTTAGAAATCTTACACTAACATCTCACCAGGTCAGTTCAGCATTTGGACATACACTTCACTGCGCTACAGTTCTTTTCTGAAACTGCTCAAACCACAAGACACAAATGCACAGGAAAAGAGGAGGGGAAGGGTTTCCCAAGCATGTTCATATTACTCAAACATATGAAATTGTTTTGAAAGCTTATGGAACAAACAAAGCAGGTCGCTTTGTTTCTGTTTTTCCCTAAGCTCCAACAGGAAGACGTCACTTGCAATTTCAAAAGAAAGTTTTGGTTCTCTGGCACTGCCTATTTTCTGGCAGATGCTAAGGTTCCAGAATAACTGTTGGAATCTGTATGTTCAAAGACCTTAAATATAATATGCAAGAAGCCACTAGTAATACCAATTTTCCTTGAGCTGAAAAATGGCACAGACCAATTTCCTTTAATCCGTAGCAATTTGGTTGATGTTTTTCCACAGGCTAAGAGTTTTTTTTTTCACCTCTCAGCTGTTATTAGGCTGGAAGACTACTTCCAGATGGTGATCATTTGACTTTCTGCTGCCAGGACCACCCAATTTGCTGATGTAAATGCTGTGGGCCGTATAGTGGGGTTAGGAGGGGTAAGGAAGTGTGCACCCTTACAGACAGAAAGATGGCAGAGAGACCTGATGGAACAAATATGGAAAAGTATTTGCCTCAAGTAGGTGGTATACCCAAACAAAAACCTAGACTGGAAGAGATTTCTTGAAAACGAGGTATTTCTTTATAGGATTAATTATTTCTATAGGCTTAAAAATAAGCATGGCTAGGAATGCATGGTGTCTGAGAATCTAAACCTGTGGGAGTATCACAGGGTTTCTGTTGTAGTTCATTGCTATTATATCATGCATTTTTCATACATACATTATAAGGCAGCATCCTAAAAGAAGTTAGACTTCTTTATTCCAATTGGAGTCAACCAAAACTCTTTCCCACGGATGAGCTGCTTGTTCTTCTCACCATGCTTTTTCAGTGGTTGTTGCAATTTGAACTCACCTATCTCGTACAATTTTTCTTTTTAATATGTTTAAGATAATGTACCAAGTCTGTTTCTAGCTGAGGTACATTACAATTAATTTGGTCTATGTTAGGACTGTGTAGGTCTTTCTCTTGGTTCGATCAATTCAGTAGCTTGTAGACTGGCAAATACTAGTGGAACATGAGTTATTATTCATAGAATCACAGAATATGCCGAGTTGGAAGGGACCATAAGGATCATCGAGTCCAACTCCTGACCCTGCACAAGACCATCCCCAAGAGTCACACCATGTGCCTCAGAGTGTTGTCCAGTCTCTTCTAAAGTGTATTCCTGGCTTACAGCAGAAGTCACTTATTAAGTCGCAGTCCACAAGCTTGCACTTTTAATTTCATCATATACCTATTAAACTGGACTGCAAAGTCATCAAGTTAGATCATTCTGTATTCCTTTGCATTCTTGATTCCTCGTAATGCTCATGTATGGGTTTTTTACTAGTATTGTGCTGATTGAGAATGTAAAAATGGCATTGTTAAACAAGTTGACTTTTGTGGGGAATTTTTGGGTTTGGGTTGTTTTGTGGCTTTTTTAGGTTTTTTTTGTTTTGTTTTTTCCCATTTCTTTCCCCCTGAAGGCCTGTTTTGGAGGAATTTCAGTAGTAATAGTCAGTCTGGCTTCTGTTTCTTCTTTCATTGCTAGCCTTTGACAGCCTCTTTTGAATTCCTAACTAATTTACTAATCCCAGTCTCTCTGATTAAAATAAGGAGATTCTGTTTTCCCATGTTATGCCTTAAGTGCTTTACCAAAGTTAATATCAGTCATGTCTTCTGTTTCCAAAAAAATCTTCTTTTGTTACATAAGAATATACCTGTAATAAATGCATGCAGCATTTATCCTGTTTTCATTTACCTACACATCCTTAATATAACTCCTCAGAAGAGATGTTTTTGCATAGGTTTTTGTCAGAGTTTGGAATGGAGATTATTTAACCTCTTTGATTTATAGCAGACATTTTAATGTACTACAAATGAGCAAGAATTTATGTGGCGTGCCAAGAACAACTTTTTTATGTCAGTCATTCAGTAACTGGATCAGTTTGGAAAAAAAAATCTTAAAAACTGACAGAAAAATCTGCATCACTGTCAAATATGTTACGTGTGTGTATGTCTATATATATATGACATATATTACAAATATTATAGAATTTAAGGATACTATAGACATATTTAAACATTTACTTTGAACTATTTAAGAGGTTCTGTTAGTAAGTAGGCTTTCTAATACAACATAAAAAGTGCCTTAAATAGTTTGCATGTTCTATCTTTGTCGTGCATAGTAATTTTATTTTTCTCCTTCTCTCGTCCCTAATTCCCATTTCCTCTCTTGCATTCTCTCTTCCTCCCATTCCCCTCCCTTCTGCCACCAGGTGCTGTTTTATATTTCCCCTGTAAATAGGTTGGTGGGAGCTCTGATGACTGTCCTGTCACTCTTTCCTGGTAAGAAGAGAAGCTTGGACTTCTTTTTATATGCTTTCTGGTGATAACTGAGACTGGCTGTACTGCGTCATTTGGAAATCAACTTATGTGATAATAAAGTTAGGTTGATATGTTACCTGAAAAATGAGTGACTTGTATGCATGTCCATGTACTTGGTACACACCTAATACTTACTACTTTCACTTAGTTGGGTCTTGAGCTTAGTTGAAGCCACTGGATTTTCTGTATTGCCTATGACATAGATGTGACCCTGAATAAGTCACACATTCCTACTGAGTTCCTTAAAAACCAAAAATACAAACTTCTCTCTTCTCTCTACATGCACTCTTTAAAAAACCAAACAAACATAACCCCTAACTCTGCTAATTCTTAGCCTCTAACCAGTCTTCTCAAAGCAAAATATTGGGGCAGATTCTTTAGGACAGAAAGTGTGGTGTTTGGGGTTTGTTTTTTTTAACACACCCCTGCCTCCCCAAAGTAGTGTTTTAAAATACATGAATTTCCACTGTGTACACAAGAACACTTTTTTCTTTTTTTTCTTTTTTCACCCCACAAAAGTAACTTAAATTTCTACTGAGATGCTGATATTCATGTGTGCTGTCACTTTCCAGGTATGATTGAACATGGTCTTAGTGACTGTTCACATTATAGACCAAGAAAGAGTATATCGGAGGATGCTGGCTTGCAGGAAAATACACCACGGCTGGATGAGTATGTTTCTGTGTCTGCTGCTGATACTTCAGATACAAACTTGGGAATGGGAAAGGGAGGCAGGCAGATGACAGGAAACAATTCAGTGGAAGGTCAAAAAGCAAATGTGCCTTTCTCCCAGTCAGAGAAGACTTGCAATGGAGCTCAGTCCTCCAATGGTACTGTGCAGCGCTTGAAAGTTCCTTCCCGTGCTTCTCCAGCATCCTCTGAAAGCGACTGGGAGACCTTAGATCCCAGCATTTTGGAGGAGTCCAGCTTGAAAGAAGGTGAATGTGAAAATCCACCATCAGAACAGGCCAAAAGTCTTCTGAGCAAAGGCATGAGCTCAGAAGGCCTTCCCATCACTGTGCAGCCCCAGGCAAACACAGGACACACAGTGCTTGTTCAGGGACTGGTATCTGGGCTGGAAGAGGACCAGTATGGGATGCCACTGGCTATTTTTACGAAAGTAAGTATGTTCTTTGTGGTACCTGGTAACTCAAAAGGACATCTGTTTTCCAGAAGTGGGTAATAATTTTGGTTACTGAACTCCAGGTGGACAGTGGGGTACTACAAAACATGTGAGTACAGTGTCTGGCAGGTGACTGTGTTCCAAGGCAGATGGAAGAGCATGAGTGCATGTCCAGGAGGGTTGTGCACATACACATTCCACTTTTCTTTCATGTGAATACTTAAATACTCTTGCAATTCTATGTAGTGGTGACCTGCAACCCTACTGTGGTTAATAAATTGTGCGTATCAGTAACTACTGTTTTGTTTTATACTGAAGAATTGTTGATCTAACCCATATGAGGGCAAGACCAGAGCACTTGAGAAGCGTTTGGATACCTTAATCTAAACTAAGACTCTGAAAGCTGTAACTTCGCTTACACCTAAGCCTATGTTTTCCTCTTTTAATTTATATCTATATAGGTATTTTTGATTGTGTATGTGTGTATAAATGCACAAAATATGTATATAAATACAAAAAAAAAGATAGAATTTCACCCTTCCCTTCTGTACATGACAGCCCTGTTTGTCTGGGTCTATTTCTCTGTGCCTGGTGCTGAGCTGCTGAATTTTAAGCTTCCACTGATGTCTAACTGAACTCCAGGTATTCAGATAACGAGCAGTAGGGCTGGTTACTAGGGCTGATTTCCCATAAAAACCAGGGAAAATGCATCCCTTTTAAATATAGTTTTGTCAGTAAAAGAAGTGATATAATAGTTTTTGTTGTTTTGTTTTTAATGTAATGCACATGTGCCCATAGCAGAAGATAGACGATTCAGATTTGTTTCCTCAAGCTGGTGTGGTTCAAAGTGTTTTTTCTTCCTTTGGAGGGATTGATTTGCATTTCCTTGCAGAACTTTGTATTTGATGATTGTGTTTGAGCTTCTCACAGTAGCTTTTATTGGAAATGGTGCATAATGTGGGCCCAAGTGAGCAGCTCAAATGTCATTGCCCTGTATTGCCTCATGTCACCATTAGAAATGCTGCTTCAACAAAGATCTGCAGTCTGGTGTTTGTCCTTATGATCTGTCTAATGAGAACAATAGCCTGTAAATTGTGTTTAGTCTAGTTCTACTGAAAATACTAGATGGAAAGTGAGAATAAAGTAATTGATAAGGGGGCCTACAAGTGCAAGCTTCTGTTTGCTACTAAGCTCATAAAATGGAGAATAATTTTAAGGAAGCTCGCAGTTTCTACATGTTTACCTTTCATTTCACAAAGGCACTTTTCACTTGAGTTTGTCCAATGTAATTAAAGCAGAAAAGGCTTTATATGTCTGAGTTAGCAGCAAAATCTGATTCAAAATTACAGTTTGAACTACTTACTGGAAAGTTAACATCTCTTTTAGAGCTCTCAGGGTTGTTTTATGCCATGCCATAGAAAGACTAATATATCTGACAAATTTGAATGGGAGGAGATTTTGCCAGGTGGCATAATACATTAACCAAGTACACCTGAGCATAATGAAAAATAGCTTGTGATGCTTGTTTCTTCAGTACCAGTTCTGTAAGATTTAATAGTCATTTCACTTGCACTCTTTTAAAAAAGAATGGAACATGTTCACAGAAATAAAAGTTGTTGTACTTACAAATGTGCATTTGGAATCTGACACTTGATAGTTTAAATAGGGAAAGATTTCCCAGACATTGCTGCTTGAGCATACAGTAATTAAACCTTCCTTTGCCAGTTTCTTAAGACGTATTTTTTGTAAATTTTCCATTTTAGGTTGGTGATTCCTCTCAAAGCACTTTTGTTCCTTTGACACAGGCTATTTGTTTTCAGCTGATAAGTGCTTGTCATTTGGAAGGCCATCCCTGTGTCTAATATAACAAAAGGGAATAGTTTTGCTACTTTCTTCCATATGTTTCCAATTGCCACATACTGTGTGATAAAGTGTGTGTGCTCTTTGTTTCTGTCTAGTGTGCCATTAGCCCTAGTGAATAAATTGCTTTGTGCTTTATGCAGTTGAACAGCTGGAATTAGACTTCAGGGGTATATTGATCCAATATTTAAAAAGAAAATTACCTACATCTGCTTCTTGATGATGACTGATCTCTCAATGACTAATTCGAAGTCTTTTCTCAAAACGTTTGGTTTTTTATTTTTAGTTGACATGTAGGATACTAGATCAATTTACAACCATGAAGTGGCTAAAAAGCACAGTATATTGCTTTCTGTCCCTCTCCTTCTTAAAGCAGGCATGCATATGCTTATCAAAACTTGATTGCTGTCTCTGGTGTCTGGAAATCTCCACCCACAAAATGTGGATAGCAGTCTATAGCTTTCCTGCATTATGTTCCTCACAACCACCAGAACTTGAGAGATGAATCCTTATCTCCACTGACTTCTTGTCTCTGAACTGACCTGAGACCTTACTCTTGTTACTTATTATTGTTCTTATGCTGCTTATTCTGTTGCCTTATAAACACACTCAATTCCCATCCTTTGCATTGTATTTCAGTTTCAGTCCTGAGACTGAAAGGCAACACAGTCGCTTGAAAAATCTAATTCATGTGTTATCTGGTGGCTTTGCTTTGTAAATACAGTGTAGCAAAACAACAGATAATTGTGGCTGAAACTGTAATAACTAAGGTTCCTTCTGGGTGAAATGTGATGGCTCTTATTAGGAAAAACTCGGAATATAGCCTATTATTTTTTTAATGTTAATTCTCTAAATATGTGTGTCACTCTAGGGGTACCTCTGTTTGCCATACATGGCGCTGCAGCAACATCATCTCCTGTCAGATGTCACAGTCCGCGGCTTTGTTGCAGGAGCGACCAATATCCTGTTCCGTCAGCAGAAACATCTGAGTGACGCAATTGTGGAAGTATGGATCTTGGCATTTGCACTTCTGGAACCTGAGGGGCAGGGCGGAGGCAGGGGTTGCATTTTAAACACAGCTTTAAAGCTTCATGTGCATGCCCAAATTTTGAATTCCTTCCATATGAAATAAATTCTTAAATGCAGAAGTTTATTAAATGTCTACGATTTGAAGGGATAGGGTTACATAAACTGTGTTTCTAGATATATTCCAAAATTTGAATTTGCAGGGCACTTGTTAAATTTTCTTTTGTTGCTGGTGTAGTTTTATTTTTCGTGTCATGGGTTTTTTTCATGGCTTTGTATTAAGGTCTTCCAAAATAAGTGCTTGCAGCTCAGAAGCAGATGCAGATATTGATATTGACTTCCTTCTGATTTAATCAAGAGGGTAAAAAATAGTATCTAAATAAAATAGTAAAAAATAAAAATAAATAAAAATAACAAATAAAAATTAAAAAAATAGTATCTGTGGCACTTCTAGCAAATAGACACAACTGTGTAATCAGCATTTAGTAACCTAAGGTAGCTCCATATAGATAATCAACTTAATAAATTGAGGTGACAATCAAAGGGCCTCTAGGGAAATACATGTGAACACCAAACTTCCACTGCCAAATCCTGTCAAATAGCGGCTTTTACTCTGTGCCAAGGAAATGATCAGATTCTGAATATATCAGAGCAGTATCTGACTTTCTGAGAACAGTAAATTCATTGTTCCCTTGGCATTTGTTTCTTCTTGATGCGTTGGGGGAATGAGGGTTTAGATTTAGGTAGCAATATAAGTATGTATAAGCAGTTTTATTTAGATAAATGTTTACCCTTGGAATTGTTTCAAACAGATAGAAGATGCTCATGTACAAATCCATGATCCAGAACTCCGTAAGATCCTGAACCCAACAACTGCTGACCTAAGATTTTCAGATTACTTAGTGAAGCATGTAACTGAGAACAGAGATGATGTTTTCCTTGATGGCACTGGATGGGAAGGAGGAGATGAGTGGATCAGGGCTCAGTTCAGTGCTTATCTTCATGCACTGCTTGCTGCTGTGCTGCAACCAGGTAGAACAGATACCTTGTTTATGGATGGAGATTGGGGTGGATGTACTAAGTGTTTGCTCTGTTGCTGTAAATGCTGTAAATGTGTGGCCTGTCATTGGATCTCCCTCTGCCTAAAGTTTCATTTTAGGCTGCTTTTTCAGTTGCCCTTGGCTATCCTTGTTATTCTTTGACAAGCTTATTACTAATTCTTACTTCACAGCCTTACATACACTTTCTTCTTAGACTGTCTCCTTCTCCTTGATTTAATTAAGTTTTCCTCCTAAGTAGAAGTTCCTGAAACCCTATATATGATGAGACTGTTAGGAACTTGACTGTATTGCAACCTGGAGTTAATTTTAGGAAACTAATTGGATTCAAGGAGACACGAAGTTAAGTGGCTGTCTTCAGGAAGTTTTAGTAGACTGTTGCAGCCTTTTTCCCTTCTTGCCATGGTCCTAAGTAGAGATTCACATAAGTGAAAAGGTTCATCTACAGGCTTTATAAGCTTGTGTTTATTGGAGCTCAACATTTTTTGCTTTAGCTCAGAGGGAATTCTCTATGTTCCAGCCTTTTGTGCAAATATAAGTAAAAGAATCAGTGTTTTATTTGTGGAAAATATTTAGCTTGCCCAGAACTCACCACGTTAACTTCATTCTTATCAGATTTTTCTCTGATCACACCAATTAACAAATTCAGATTTTTGTTCAGTGGTATTTTTGAGAAAACATGCGATTGAGAACTTGATTTTAAAATCTGGAAGCTGCCAAGTTCTTAGTCTGACACCATTAATACTTTAAGGTTGATATGAAATATCTAGGTTTTCTGGGAACTATTTCACTGTCTGGCTCTAAAATTATTTCCTATACTCTTCAGTGTTTTAAAAGGTCGTTGTTATGATAAGTTTATTCCACAGTAGTTCCTCCTGTAGTTTTGGAATAGATTTGTGGGTTACTAAATTTGAATGAGTTATAACATAGTACAGCAAAGCCCAGTGTATCTGACCAAGAACAAAGCAAATGGAGTTTTTGTTCTTGGTTACTATGTGGCCATTCTGACAGACATATGTTTGGATGACTTTTTTTTGCCAGTAGAGCTCCTTACATAGAGCTTTATAAATGAACTAAAAATAAGAAAACTATTTTTTAAGCTTTTTTTTTTCCCCTCTTGTCCTGGAATAAAAATAAAACACTTTTGAAGTGCCCAGTTCTTAGAACTGGAGTTCTAATTGTCTTTGACTTGATAAGAGCTTGGAAAAATAAAATTATTCTTTACAAGAAAATAATTTGTCTTGTAATTACATCTCTAATGAATTTCTGCAAATTTTCATCTTTATTTTAATTTATCAGACAATGAAAAAACTTTGTCAGACTTCGGAACAACATTTGTAGCAGCCTGGAAAAATACCCACAACTACAGAGTATGGAATAGCAACAAGCATCCGGCTCTTGCAGAAGTAAATTCCAGGTAAGGAAACTTTTTAGCATTTACTCTAATTCTTTTTATGAAGAAAATTATATCCAGAGTCAGGAGAAGTGAAACTTGTTCAAATTGATTGTTGGCTGTCCCCAGCTATAGAAATTTGTCATTCCTCAGGAATTGTCCTCAGATGGTTCTCCTTTTTATTAATTGCTTCCAGGTGTACAGGGAGTAGCTGTGTCCAGGGTTGTCTCTGCTGGGTGTGGAGGGGAGCTGGCTGTTTTCTGTTGCATCTTCCATACTTTAGACTGGTTTATGTGTATTTTCACTGAAAGATTAGGCCGTGCAAGGCTTGGTAGCACTGTTGGCTGTGCATGGGTTTTGTTTAGTGTGGGTTACTACTGTACTGCTGGGAATTTTGTTTGCTTTTAGTTTGTCAGCTGCTGTAGTCTGAAAAAGGTTTTTCTTTAGACCTACAAAGCTCTTTTGTTCTACTTAAGGGATGCTTTTTATTTGCTCTGTGTTGCTGAAGGGAGGTGCTTTTGCCTTAGTGTTGAAAAGATTGTTAATATCTGGTCTGTAAATAGAAGGCACCTTATAGGTAGTTCATAAGAAATCTATGTTTGAGTTGTCACTGGAACCCAGCCTTCTGTGAAGTGATAGAGTAGTAAATCTGCAAAATATTTTTAAAACTTTTTTTGGTGAGGCACAGATAGGAGGACAGCTAATAACTATGTGATACAGATTCATCATGAAAAAAATAAATATTTAATGTTTTCTCGGGTTTTTCCTCTTCTTCTAGCCACCCATTCCAGGGACAGTACTCCGTATCAGATGTTAAGTTAAGATTGTCACAGTAAGTATAAAGTACTTTGATTTGTATTTTTTAAAAGTGTGGTCAAATACTAATAAACTGCGTAACTGTTGCTATGATGAACTAAGGAAGATAATGATTCAAATTGGCCATGTCCATGAAACTGTACACAACATTCTCTTGCAAAACATCACCACATCTAAAGATGAAACACTTGCCTGAAATAAATAATAATAAAAAAAGCTAATGCAATATTTTATGTTGGACTTTACATATTAGAGCCTTGATTTTTTTGTGTTGCAATTATAAGGCTTTTGTATATTTATTTTTAATCTGTAAGCTAAAGCTTAAGCTCCTAAAACTTCTATCAGTGATTTTCTGTACATTGACATTATTAGGAGACACCAGCTTTTTTTTTTAATTAACTGGTTTTTAATACAGCATTGTTCTAAAACTCTCAAAGTTCACTGTATGCATACTGAGATGTCGTTCAAGTTCTTCGGTTTACAAGTTTAAAATGAGTTTTGCATAATTCCTTATTGCACAAGACTTAGCTGAACTTTACATTGGTCTCAGCTTCTGTAGTATTCAAGTCTAAAACTCACTGGTGCTTGTTATTGCCATGGCTGTTCTTCTCTAACTGAAGCCAGAATTCAGTCTTGGGTTTATGCACCAAGCAAAACGGATTGTTTTCTCACTTAGCTGTGTTGACCATAAAACATTTAGAGATTGGTTCCTTAAGATGCCTGTAAATCAGCAGTACATACACGCTGCTGACTCTGTGCCTGCCTCAGCTGTGGAAACATTAATTTCAGTACACTGTGGGTAGACCTAAACCACATGCTAACAGAGAACAGCTCGAGGAATAAAAAGGTTCAGACTTCAGCTCGCTGAATCTTTCTGTTGCTTTTGCTGACCAGTGACAGATTAAATTTCCGCGATGGCGATTGAGAATGCAAATGAGTCAAGATTAATCTCAAGGTAATTGCCTTCAAGAAGGTGCATGCTGATAGCAGCTCTTTTTATTAAAGGATAATCCTTGTAGAAAGACTTAATTTGAAAGATGTGTAGGTGTCTCTAATGTTGCCCTATTTTTGTGTTTGAAAGGCGAGTTACTAACTCTTCTGGGTAGGGTGAGACCAGTAGTTCATAGTGTACTTCTAGTAATACGTATTTTTACAACAGTGCTTTTGTTCTCCAGGTGGGACTTTGCTATCAGATACTGATCAAAATTACTTGCTTTTGCAAACTGAGCCTAAACTTGGTTTTGGTGTATTCTATTCTTTCTGCTTTTTCCATCCACACTGAAGATTCTGGAAGTGGGAAAAGAATGTGGCATGATGTGTTTTTAAGTTTCACATTAATGGGTTTGCAAAGCCTGAAATGTGGGCTTGAAAGTCACAATTTAAAACGATCAGATTATTTTCAAGTGATCGTACTTGGTGCAGTAGAACTGATTGCTTTTGTGCTTTTCTTTCCAAATGATGCTGATGTCTGTCATTTTTTTTGCATTTCTTTAACAAAAGCATGAGTGTAAACTGTCCTTGATCAAAAATTTCATCTTAGAGAAAGATACAAAGTAGACTCTCTTTAGAAAGAAAAGGCTGATCAGTAACACAGTTTTGTTTAAAGGTTATATATTGGGGCTAAAACTTCTCAAAACTGCAAATCTGTCTTTGTAATTTAGAACATAATGCATCTTGGTAAACATTTAGGAAAGGGTAATTAGACACTGGAATGGATGCCCAGGGAGCTGATGTTGTCCCAGTCCGTGGAGGTGTTTAAGGAGGGACTGGATGTGGCACTTAGTGCCATGGTCTAGTTGACACGGTGGTGTTTGGTCATAGGTTGGACTTGATAATCTCAGAGGCTTTTTCCAGCCTAATTGCATCTGTGATTCTATGAAAGGTTTAAAGTGTGCCTTATACGAGTGAACCATTGAATGTTTTGACAGCATCTTTTCTTCCTCTGAGAAGCTTTCCTAACTGATCTGTCGATAAGATGCATGCAGGAACTATGGGCTTGATCATATATATGAACTATATATATGTATGCTATATAAATCTGTGTGTAGTGATACATACTTTAATTATGTGTTATAATTACACCTGGGAGTAATAAGACGTCAGTGAACTAACAGTCTTCAGTATCTCTCTTGATTAGCTCTGTGCAAAACAGTGAACGTGGAAAGAAGATTGGAAATGTGATGGTTTCCACCAGCCGAAATGTTGTACAAACAGGAAGAGCTGTAGGTAAGAAATGTATTTAAAATCAGCTTGCATCTAAGCCGTATCTCTTTTGAAGAAGCATCCTGTTTCTCAGTTATATTTTAGTTTAATCCAAGTGTACTTTATAACATACACACAAACCGGAGCAACATTTTGAAGGATAGAGCTGCTGATTGAGGCCCCATATATTGTGTAATAGTGAAAAGAGAAGCAGCTAGACAAGAAATTAGTGTACATTCGTTGTGGCCTGGAGATGAATATGGGAAGAGATGTTCAGGGAAGAGGTTTCATGTAATCTGGAAATCCTTAGACCATACCACCTTCTGTATTAAATTATTCTCAATTTTTATTCTCAATTTTTATATTACTTCGACTGGAACTGTCCAGAGCTGGGTGAGATCAGAAATAGTCCATGTGTCAGTTTCTGCAGATTTTGCAGCTGTCTGTAATTTTCTGGGAAAGCATTTGTTGCATTTCAACAGAGGCTTTGACATCAGGGATTTGACATCATATTGTCATCTTGCAGTGCGAGATAATGAGAGTCCACCCATTAAAGGGTTTGATAGTTGTTTGGCAACAGCTTTGCCAAAAATTGTTTAACTTCCTCTTTTTGCCATTGGAGTCTGTCTTCTCTTTTTGCTGTTATACACTCTGGCAAGGAATGCCTTTTGGCCCAAAGTCTAGCAAGCCTTCCTGGGCAAAGGACATCATAGGCCATTTCTGGTGAGCTACTGTGTTCAAGTTCTTTGAATGTTTTCTGACACAGATTCTGGAATTGGATTTTAAATCCCAAATTGGACAACCAATTGTGTGATTTTAAATTTTGTTTTAATATTCCTTTGTAATACCTCAGTAATGATAACACTTCACTATGGATCTTTGGTTTGTATTGCAGGTCAGTCTGTTGGAGGAGCCTTCACAAGCGCGAAATCAGCCATGTCATCCTGGTTTTCCACTTTCACGCAGTCACCCCAAAGCCTCGGTGACTAAGTGCTGGTTTTTCATAATGCTGCTGACTATTTCAGGTGCAATGCTTTCTCTGAGCTGTAAAAAGACTGCTCCAAAATGTAGGATTGGAGATTAACTACCCAGGACCAAAATATGTTGCTTGCAAGCAGGTGTGGAATGTTATTATTCAGTTTCACTAGAAGTATAGAAGAATGGTGAGTGTCTCCGTACAATGGGGTGCATTTGCAGTATATTGGTTATATTTAAAATGACTACTTCTCTTTAAAACTGAGCCTTTATAAAAACATTAGTAAACAGGGCTTGTTGCAAGCCAAATGTGTTTGACTTTAGATTTGTACATTTTCTTGGATGTTGAAAATATTTATGTAAACTAGTTATATTTTTCAATCCAGATAGCCAAATGTTTGTGAATTCTTGTTAGAAATAAGCAGAATATAAATACTGATTCCTCTTTCAGGTTGGATTTGAGAGAATCTCTGCAACCCTTAAAGGGTTCCAAGCCAGGTGGAACTTTCTCGCTTTCACCTGCAAACTAAACAAGGTGCAGAGTAAGACTGTGGCTGACAAGGGTTTTTTTTCCTTTATCCTCTGTATCCATGTACACTGTAGCACTGTTTGAATTAATCTGTCTCTGGCTCTCTTTGTGTCTCCAAATTTATGTGACAGTTGCAAAATCAGTATTTTTTTTTCATGTCACAACTTTGCATATGTTTTTGCTGTGTTTTTACCCTGGGACACGAATGGGATTCCAGCTGGAGAGATCTCTTCAGGGAAAGTATTACAAAACATTTCTCCCAAATTGGGAATGGATCTCAGAAAGTTTTGAGGTCTTGCTCTATTAGGATGTAATTACAACATCAATGTAGTTTGATACATAAGAATACAAAGTACTAAACCCACCCAGAACTAGAACAGTAGCAAACTCTGTGTGGCTTTTTTTTCCCCCCATACTAAAGTGATGAAGATTCTTCCAAATGAAAATCAGCTATATCGATTTTCTGTGTCGACTCAGGGAACGATCCATTTGGATAACTACTTTTTTCATAAGGAGAGTAACACTAGAATTGAGAGAGTAACTAAACTGTCTCAGTTCGTATCCTTGTGGGAAGAAATTTGTTTGAAAAGATGTGGCACAATTCTGTATTTCCTATGTGACATGCATGGGCTGTCTTCTGTATGCAAGCGTATTGCACTTCCTACGTCTTGATTCCAAGGGAGATTATTTCCTGTTTTCTTGCAATGTGTGTGCCTCTGTATGCCTTCTGACATCCCCACATGGTAGCTGTTAACATTTTCTACATTACATTATCAAGTGTTCCAACTTTTCTTTACCAAAAGGCTCTTAGTTTATTGCCTCACTGGTATCTTGTCAGCATTTAGCCATGTTCCTTTCTGGGGCCAAGATTTCTAGTCATGGTTATTTCTCCTATTCCTCAAATGAAATGCAGCAGCTGTACAAGAGATAAACAAGAAGGCTTGAATGTAATGGGTTTTAAGAAATTATGTTCTAATTTCTTATGTGCATTTGTAAAGCTAATAGAAAAGCTACATTTGCATCACGCTGTCACCATCCAGCAACATGGTTTCCAGTTTTTTTGCATCAAACAGTGATTTGAAAATGCAGGATCTGGTTTAAAGCCTGCATTAATTTTTTTTCCAGGACAAATTAGGTAGAATGACTGTGGAAAGCCTGAAAGTATACAGCTAGTTTGAGTAGTTTGATTTGAGAAGGGCAAAAAAGGCCCCTAAAGCTCTATTAATCTACTGCTTCTGACACAAGAAGTAAGATGTATCTATTGCTTCTAGTCTCTGTGTGTATTTGTATATCTTCTAACACTTCTGATGCTCTTTTCTGTTTTATTCCACAACTCTGTAATAGACATTTGTATCTTTTCAAAGACTAGGTATTACTTTATATGCAGTGAAGTAAGACTAGAACTGTCTTGATTCGTGGTGAGTCTAGACCTTTCTGATTCAGCATGCAGATAAGAAAATAACCAAAAATAATCCCTTGCTTTTGTGAAATGACTAATGTATTGTCTGCTGTCTGGGATTTAAATGGTCAGGGTTTGTGCTGTAATGAAGACTGCAGAAAGGTTCATAAAGTACTTAAGCACCTATAAAACTTAACTTCAGCAACTTAAGGCACACTAGGTAGATTTAGGCTTAGGGGCTCAGGATGGTGAGTTCTAGAAGCCAGGCAAGTGGTTGGTATTTACAAGGTGTAGAAACAGGACCTTTAAGGATCCCTTTTCAATATCCTTGTTTTTGTCACCTCCTCACATGCGTTTTCTCTGTAGAATTCTCCTATGTTCCAAATTTATATGGCAGATGTATTAGCTCTCAGCATTTCCCTTACTCTGACAGACTCCCTTGCTGGCCTAGGAATACTAGAAAGCTGACTTTTGTTCATTTGTTTGTTTTGTGGTGGATTAGTCTGAGGAAAGGCAGAATGAGGTGGCATCTGGAGTGCTAAGCTGACGCATAGCTCCTTGCTGCTTTGTACAGCAACTCTGTCACGATACTTCACAGTATTTCTCTTATGGGCAAGGACGGATCTTTCTCTGCAGTCTTATTCTCACTGTCCCAGCTGTCTCTGTTGTGGAGCCAAACTTTTGATCTAATTAAGAGTATTTTCCTTTCTTTACAAATGACAGAATAAAAAACTTGTATTAATTTTCAATCTTTTTAAGAACTGGCATCCTGCTAGCAAACTGATCTTGGATTTAAACTTGTACAGCGATTAAGACTCATGGAGTGAGTGGAGATGAAGTGATCTTCATAATTAGTCGTCTTCATTAATATCTATGTTTGCTCTTTGATATTTGCTTAAGCTTACTTTTGGGCTGTAGAAAGGCATGCAGCCACTGAGGTTCATCTAGTTCTCATGTAGTTCTCTTCTTAATTTAATGTTTGTAACATCTTTAGTTAAATCCAATGCAAATGCAAGCTATTTTCCTCTCCTCTGTTTTAAAATTTCCAGTGCAGGCATTATTAATTATTCAGAAAGATTTAGGCAGTTGACTTCCATTTCAAAGACCCTGACATGCATTTCTGCGCTGTAAGAAACAATGAGTCTTAAGTGAATTGGTGATAGTGCCTTTAAATCGGTCAACTGTGAAGGTATTGTTACAGCTCTGTTGTGATTTGAAGTTGCAAAGGTATTTCTGGCTGTCAACATGCAGCACACACTGACTTACAGGTAATGCAATAGCACACCTCAACTTTCTGTCATCAAAGGCATCAACTTCAGCTTTTTGTATGTGCCAGCATTTGAGGAACTGCCTATTGAGCATAGGTATGAGATGTAAGTCCCCAAAGCCCCCTGAGATTCAAGTATTGCTGACCTAATATTTCATTTGACTAAAGAGTTCAGCATCTTTTATCAATCATTTTCATGTCATAACCTTGATTCCTGTGCACATCTGACACCAGTTTCCTCAAATGTCACAATGTAATTAGACTTTTTAGGTCAGTGTTCTAGTACATTGCACTTGTTTGACCTTGTACATCTGTTTTAAGCACCTTTGTAATTAAATATAATATTTTGCCTAAACAAGCTTCTGATTTCCATACAAATTATTACTAAGCAGAGAAATTTATGTGGCAGTATTTAATTGTAAAAGTGAAGGCGTGAATGCTGTTTTTAAACATAGAAACTGTTGCTTGATAATTGAACACACAAGTAATGTATTTGATTTTTCTTGTGCTGCTTGAAAAATAAAATACATCCAGCCTGTTTAAAGTTTGGTCTGCTCAAAAAGCTGTATTATTTTAGTAATTTAACCCCACCAGAAGACACTTGCAGGCATCTGGTTTTGATATTGGTAGCTGCTTGTAATTCACTGGCAGTCTTTTTGAAATTCGTCTTCCATTTAAACTGATGGTGGATGCTGCTTTTTGCAAATTTAGGACAAGAGGATCCTTTAGTGTGACTTCTTATTCCCTATGGGGTGCTGCTCATTGTGAATTGATTAAAGTGTTCAGGAGGTCACAGACCTCTTACATCAGTAAAAACTTCAGGTACAACTAAAATTTTGGTGTAGATTTAGCTTCAAAGTAGCATGTAGTTCCTGTGGATTGTGACATCTGGTCAAAACCAGGATGCCATGTAAATGAATTGCTGCACATCCAGTTCTCTGCCATAGTGAGCTGTTTTAAGACTTTGAAACTTCTGCCATAATGTTGTTGTACCTACGTGAGAATGATTTGGTAACTGGGTGTTTCCAGTAGGAGGAAACTTAACTGCCTTGAGTAACATTCAGATGTGAATTAGATGGAGCTTATGTCTAGCGAACAGCTGCAATTCTCTAAAATTTGTTAATGTATTTCCGACCATGTGCAAGTAGTTGTGCAAACACACTGAAAGATAAATTTACATCATGTTTTTTATGCACTGTAATTTTACTTTCTTGCAGGTATTTAGTTTTCATTAAAAAGGGCAACATGGAGGGTATTCATTAAAGGGAAAAACACTACATTATTGTATTATGATTAAAGATGTATGACAAATTGCTTCATGGTGTTTTGAGTCTTTAATATTATAGTAGGGAAGGGACTGACTTAAAGAAGCAGGCACAGAGCTTTACTTCTGTGTTGTTTCTGGTCTTGACCCCATTCTTTATCAAACATTAGAAGTAGTGTTTGGATTCATAAAATATATGGAGGTGGATCACTTCTGTCAGTTAAACAGTTAAATTGTGACCCTTACTCCAATTACCTTATTCCCTGTAAATTGACATCATATATGCACAACATCTGTACACAGGTGGCTTAATCTCAATTATGATGGAACTTGGAAGTCTAGCTCTCTTGAGTCCTTCTGTATAGGTTCATAATTGCTTAATCATACATTGCTCCTCTTGTAATAATATTCCAAAATCAACTGGTAAAGTAAGATTTTTTTTTGTTGCTTCCCTGTCTGAATTTATTAACTTAATATTGATAAAAGCACAATTACTGTTTATCTCAATAGTAGCAGAGAACATCTACAAAATCTTTTCTTTCTTAATGTAGATCACCAAGAAAGCACCACTGCTTTCTAGATCAAGTGAGCATAATCAAGTAAGAATGTTTAGACTGAAGGAAGAACAGTTATCTAAAGTGAAGGCAGATGTACAGCTGTCTTCTTGTCTTAAAAACAATATGGGAAATAACATCACTTGCATATTGTATGAAACAGGTGGAAAATACTGGAGAAGAAACTCAATGGGTTTCTCATCTTTCAATTCAGATACTTTAAGAAACACATACTGAAACACAGTGGAGAATTTAAAAGTTCAGGCACACCAGAAGGTGGCAAAAAAAATGCTGAGTTTAACATATTGCCTAATGTGACCTGTGGTTACGGACCTTTGCTGCTCTGAATAATTTGTGTGCATATGAATTTTGACAAGTGTAATACTGTGCCAGAGAGCTGGATGAAACATATGCCCACTCTTAAATTTTGGAGATTGTTTCTTAATTATTTTTTTTTCTCTTCAGTAAAATCACATGCTCAGAGTTAAAAGAAGCTGTGCTTCTTGCACTTTCTAAATCTTAGCATCAGGATTTAGCTTGATGTTTAACACATGATCTGAATAGTGTTTAAGTTCTACATTACATCATTACCTTTTATTATTAATGCCTTTTACTGTCCTCTTTGGTCATATTAATGCAGTAGAGTGCATGTGTGTATTCAGTACAGTTTGCTGTTTTAAGAGATGAAGTCAGGTAATGCTTCAGGTGACCAGTCATACTTCAGCACTTCAGTAATGGCTTATGTACAGGGCTTAAATCTTTTCTTTGCTGAAACTGAGGCACCTGGTTTCACAAGTTAGACCAAGACACAGAAGAGCTGGTTTTTAGAGCAGAAGGGGAGAACAGCACACACAGAGATGCTGCTATTTCTCTTTCACCTTCATACCTGTCCCATTTTCTTTGTTAGTCCTTTCTTCCATGTCAAAGGTTCTGTGACTTAGTACTGACCCACGTCTTGCTTGGTCAGGCTGTTTACCAGCCCCTTCCATACTGGAGCTTGGGAGGTGTGTGAAGAGGTACAGATGTCATACAGGCTACCTCCTGGCATCAGGAATGATCCCTGCATTTTAAGGAGTCTAACACTCCTCTGAGTTATAAGAACTCTGCCTTGCTGAATTGTACTCCTGAGAAATGTTGTAGGAGGGAGATATTTTAAATACTTCTGAAAGTGGGACTAAACAGAACTTCGTGTGGCTAATGTTGAGCAGAAAGTGGAACGAAACTGGTTTTAAGGGTGAGCCTACTTCAGTCTGCCTAAAAGCTCCTTCCATGTAGGAATCCAGATACATGAAACAATTTGAAAGTAGCTGGAAATGGGAAACAGAGAAGGAAAAACACTAGCTTGACTAATAAGTTAGGTGGTCTGCAGGTTTGTCCACAGGTGCCCCTTGGCTGTCCTGCCATGTGGGAAGTGTTTGTGCATCTTAACAGAGGCACTGAGAAATGAAATGAGAAATATTGTGAAAAGCAGTAGTGCTTTGAACCAGGGAGTGCTTTAAATCTTAAATATAATCTTAAGAATGTTATCAAATTATTTCACCGCTGCAAATTAACTATCTATCTGATCCTGTTCTCTGTAAAGCTTGACACAATTCACTGCCCTAGATCTTACTGGTCCCCTTACAACAAAAATTAAACTTCCAATTAGGTATGTATTTAAACAACTGTAAAAAGGAGTGGATGCATTAACAATTAGCAGAGGCCAGATCACGTTTTTATTACTTTGGGTAAGGGGAACTGAAACCATGTAAGACTTACTTAAATTTAGTTCTACCAGAAGAGAGGCAAACTTGCAAATATATCAGAGCTTGAGGACATATAGAGTTGATTCACTGAAACTTGTATGTAAATACACGTCAGAGCCAAGTACAGGTTGAATAGGCTGGGATTAGGCTGAAGGTTTGTAGTAAGATAACTAGCTAGAACTCTGTGAAGGCTTTAATCACATTTGCTCTCTTTATAAGAACTGCAGGTTTTTTGGCTCTTGTCTTTGTTCCTGCAGAAGTCTAATTCTACTAGTGACCACTTCCAGGCACATGACAATGCTTTGCCTGCACAGTTTCCTTCTTGAATTATGCAGGAAAAGAATTTAGACTTGAGAATAGCATTTGCCAGCTGTTTTCCTTTGGGCTTGAATACTGACTGCAGCAAGTAATTGTGTAAGTGAAATAACAGTACATCTTTAACAGTCACTAGAGAACTGTTCAACACTTGACTAGTCTTGTCTTTAAAATACCGTATAATTAATAGTAAGTAAATTTTAAATAAGGTACTGCATAATCTTGGACCATATAGAATACAAAAGATACAGATAATCCCTAGAAAAAAAATACAAAAAATGTAGACTAGAAGGAAGTCAGGAAGTCATATAGACTGGCTGTATTTCAAAAGATGTTCCTAAATGGGTAAAATCAAGTTCTTCCAGCTTCTGTTAGCCAGTTGTGACTTAGAGCCACTGCAATTTAGTATTTCCTATTTGGTATTTATTTCCTATTAAAATTTGCCTTTTTTTTTTCCCCTTTGATAAGAAACTACACATAAGATTTTAAACTCAAGTTGAAAGTTCTCAGTAACAGAACCAGCCCACTCTGCTCCTTCACTAGCTATATAGATCATCTACACTTAAACAACAAAGGCTTATTCTAAAGCCTAATGCGGCCTGATAACAATTAAATGAAGGGAGAATGAGCCACAGAACTGAGCACTCCATCCAGGCTGGAGTTACTTGGATACCGCTCATGTTTTTGCCTTAGGTACGTGATTCTCCAAATTGCATTACAAAAGAGTATCACTGTTTTTGTTTTAATGTATGCTCCCTTGCACAGGCTTGCAACATGAAAGCAATATAAACAGACCTATCGGCAGGAGCCCCTGAGTCACCTCACCCTTCTTATCTAAAAAATGTAGGCGTTAAAAAAGTTTATGTAATGGTAAATGCAAACATGTTATGTCACCTTCTTAAAAAAAAAAAATTGGTAGCTTGCCATTGTTATTCTGGGTCCTATAAATCCCCACATGGCACAAAATGCCAAAGCACCAGGAAGGGTTTTTATATAAGGCAGGTTTCTTACCTAAAGTCCCCTTTCTAGTCAAAACCTTTAATAATTGTACAAGACAAAACTTTGTAAAGCCACTTGAGGCCTAGTCCCAACAATATATAGGTGTTGTCTTTGTTGAAAGCTGCAACTGTATTTAGTGGAATAAGAAATGGAATTTGGGAAAAGCCAGTGGCAGTCCGGACAAAGGAGTAAATAAATTTGATTAATCAAGACTGAAAATAGGTCTGCCATCTTCTGAATTTAGGGAAAAGGTTCCTCATTTACCTCCTGACTGCCTGCTGTTCTTTACTTTTAGTAGGGCAGAATTTGTCCCGTGACTGGAGGAGCGCTGATTTATAAATATGATAGCAAGGGATTAAAGTTCTGTGTAATCCTCAGTTGGACTTGAATACCTAATTTCTAGCTTTCACTGACTAGTAAGCACAGGCAACTTAATGTACTCATCTCCAGGCTTAACTATTTCAAGTTGCCTTCAATAAGCGACTTGCTACAAGTGCACATGTGGTGGGAAGGTGTCATAGCTCTATCTATTTCAACCAAAAAGCACACTCAAAGTCAGTTGGATTCAATCTTTTTTAATAAATTAATGTCATTCAAAATACAGTGCCAGAACATGATGCAGCTGAACATGCTAGTAAGGTTTGTCATGAAGCACCTGTGTTCATGTTAGATTGGCGGCGCCCCGCTACTGCTAGTGGTTCCTGGGATTAATGCCAGAGCAGCACTAGTCATCTGCTCTCCTGCACACACAGCACAGGATATTCCTGAATTTTGCTTCCCCCCCCCCCAGTAAAAAACCTGACAGCTAAGGGATATCTATACACAATCACACTACAGTAATGCTTGTTATTAAATTAACAGAAAATAAAGACCTGGTTAATCCACACTAAAACTTTGTTTTACAATGGAAAAATACATCAGCAGCAGGAAGTAATATACATGAGCCAATGTTACTGTAATACAGAGTGTGGAGGCATTTACTGATTAAAGCCCCACACAGACCCGCACTATGAGGGCTGGCAATTCCTATTGCAAGCCCAGCAACTTAAGTCCACACCTGGTAATCTACCAGCTGCTTGGAAGACCTGTATTCTAAATAGACAGGTATAAGTTAGTGAAAATAGAACACATGCACCTCATCATACAGCTTGACTGAACCTGCAGTCATTTTGCCCCGCATGTTACCATACAATGGAAGATCTACCCTTCCTACCACAGGTAGATCCATGGGATTTGTTTCTTTTTCTTTTAATGGCATTACTATACCAACATGGATATTAGTATTAAGTAGAGTGCAGCACAGTCCTTTTATTAGGCCACACTGACAGTTATATAACTAGCACTTAAGTAGAATATCCAGAAGTAGTTCAAATATAACTGGAAGATATTTTCAAAAGTTGAGACATCATCCTAGAAACATTAACTACTTTTTTTCTGA